GTAAAGGTCCTCTGGGTGATACTCACCAGTCGTGTTTTAGTGGTAAACCTTTTAGGAGCCTTAGGCGGATCCGACTCCCTCAGCTTCAGTAGGAGCCCCTGGTGGCACAGTGAGTTAAACCCTGGTGCCGGCAGGACTGCTGACCAATAGGTCAGCAGTTGGAATCCAGGAAGAATGGGTTGTGCTTCCTCTGTCAGCTCCAGCTCCCCATGCAGGCACATGAGAGAAGTCTTCACAAGGATGGTAAAATATCAAACATCTGGGCGTCCCCTGGATAACATCCTTGCAGACGGCCAATCCTCTCACACCAGAAGCGACTTGCAGTTTCTGAAGTTGCTCCTGACACAAAGAGAAAAAAAGAGGGAAGCAATGGCAATCCGTCTGTGAACAAATCTTGCCAAGAAAGCCTTTTTAACTTAGGACGTTGGAAATGATTTGAACACACACAAATAATTGCTTTGGAACACACCAAGTGGTTTGGAGTCTGCTAGTTTTTCAAACTGGATATTTAATATCTTACATTTTCCATGAAGAGAGGGGAAATGAGGTAAAATTGGTTGGTAGGTACTATCCCGGTATTCTATTGATACAGTGTGAATGAAGTTGAGACCCATTTATTACAACTCTCATTCACTTGTTAAATTGTATATCCAAGTGTAAGATACAAGCTGTTGCAGTAGCTTCGAAACAGCTACTAAAGCACTGGTAACCTATGCAAGGAGAGTCGGTATTTGCTTGTATTACTAAGTGAGAACTGTATGCAAAGTTTCATTAGTATCTGCATTTTTTTCAAAGAAAAAAAGCTATTTTCTGAATGGCAAAATATGGGTTGACAAATAATGACTTTCTCTCAGGTTACAGCTCTTCTTGATCTTTAATTTACATCAGTGGTTCCCAACCTGTGGTCCGTGGGCCACCAGTGGTCTGCAAGAACTAAAATATGGTCCACAGCCTCACCAGTACTACACTGTTGCAACAGGAGCAATTGGTCTTGCTAAACCCTCTTATAGTGCCAAGGCTTATTAAATATAGTTTTCTGTGAGTGAGCAGATGGTGACTACTGGATGGCATCTATGTTATGTATCAGAAACTAGAGCTGATGTTGTGTATCCAATGCTATGTTCTGAATCAGCACCCCAAATAATCAAACTGAATCTAAAGTTGACCAAAATTTGATTTGTACCCTTTTGGTACTAATGTTGGAGAGTGATCCCTGGTGAAGTGGCCCTGGTCAAGAAAAGGTTGGGAACCACTGTTTTACATGATAATCCAGATTGTTGGGTGATACAAGGTGTAAATAATTCACACAAGCTATAAATAATTCATGATAACCCCTTGAGTTAGCATGAAATCTCTGTGGTTATCTCAAATCTTATTTTGCCTGGGGTATCCCAACAATTAACTAGAAGACAGCCACACACAATTATGTACAAACTAACCTGAGAGTAGGCCTACTACATTATGCCACCTGTTTCTTAATGCAGAAAGCTCTTACTGAATTACTGAGGAAGATAAAGTAATCCTGAACTTTTAAAATCACCCCTTTACTCATTTAGAAGCTTTCTCAAACGCTTCTCTTTTTTTTGTACTTGCACATAACAGTCCTCGGTTCATTTTGATTATGGATTCTGCAATGGTTTTCTTGTAATGTCAAACAGCAGGAAGCAGCTTAGCCTTAGATACAATTTTTCATTAAGGAACCAAACAAAATGTCCTGTTTCTCATATTAAAGCAGTTTTGCAGCTGATAATTACTGAACACAACAGGGCAATCTCAATTTAATGATGGGGTGTTAACTTATTGCATGGCAAAGATTACAGTGGGGAATATAGTAACTTTTTGGGGGGAGTAGTGTTATTCAAAGTACATTGGAGCCATTATTTCATTAAATAATGAATAGAAGAGAATCGCATTCTATGCTATTAAATTGTTGGAACATTTTTTCCCAAACAGAAAGAAATATCTTATTTATCTTTTGGTTAAACATCTTATTTATTTTTGGTGGCAAATTATTATGACCTCCTGTATGAAAGCTTTGTATTTGAAAGGAATAAGTCTGTAGTGAAGAGGGTGGCATTTTGTGCCAAATCAATATTTTTTCATTAGTTGTTGTAAGTCATATCAAATTGATTAAATTCGTGCTTATGATGCGATATCCTACGCGCCAGCATGGCTCTTGCCAAAAACATCACATTCAAAACTTACCCAATACTTTTTGTTTGAATTTTGTAAATCTCTGAAGCCTCCCAAAGTCAGTTTCATTTTCAGCGCAAGGAAGCAAAGCAAAGCCAAAAAGGCTGCTTTTCTTCTTTAAATCAATGGCCTTTCACAATTATTTATTATTTATTTATTTATTTACTTTGCTTGTATACCGCAGTTTCTCAGCCCGCAGGCGACTCAACGCGGTTCACAACAAGAGCAAAAGTCAATGAAACAACATACAATATTTAAAACCATTAACAGCACAATATACAAAATATAACACATTAGCATCTCATAACTAAAATCGTGATCCAATTCGTCATCCATACATTCCGTTTCCTATATTCATCATTCATTGCACTATTTATCCGAACGCCTGTTCAAACAGCCAGGTTTTTAGTTTTCTTCGAAACACCATTAACGAAGAGGCTGATCTAATGTCCCTGGGAAGGGCGTTCCACCACCGAGGGGCCACCACAGAGAAGGCCCTGTCCCTCGTCCCCGCCAGCTGTGCTTGTGATGCAGGTGGGATCGAGAGCAGGGCCTCCCCAGAAGATCTTAGAGTCCTGGTGGCTTCGTAGGCAGAGATACGTTCGGATAGGTAGCTTGGGCCAGAACCGTTTAGGGCTTTATAGGCCAACGCCAGCACTTTTTTTGTACTTACACATTAGGAGAGGGGAAACAACAGAGAGAAAGCAGAGTTGACTGGGAAAGAGACTGAGAAAGCACAGAATTCTGGGAAATGTAGTTTGGGAGGTCAGGAGCTTTATGTCAGAGAATTCAAAAAGACCGTGTCCTAAACTACATTTCCCAGAATTCTGGTCAGCATCAGAAATCCCTCATCAGGAGAGGAGAGAGATTTGTCCATAGTAGCAGCCAGCCAGTGTTCCAATAAACTGCTGAATCTGCAAAGAGGAGGACTGACTGATAATTCTGGTAAGTTAATTTCTGTGGTGGGCTGGAAAGAAATCCCTAATTGGAAGTTCTATTGGTTAATATAAGAGACATTCAATGAGATAGCTGTTGTGGCTTTTTTAAAAAACATTTTTGCCAAAACTTAAACAAAATCCCTAAAAATCAATAGATGTATGAATATTTTGGAAAGTTGGGGAGAATGATCCCCTGATATCATGTATCATTGTAGAGAAAATTCAAGGAGATAGCTCTTGAAGTTTTTTAAAATGTTGTTTATAAAAACTTTGAAAATTCCCCCAAAATCCATGGATAAGTGAAAGTGAGCAGATGAAGACTAGTATATATTCTGTATTGCAAAACACTGAGGTGATATGGGGAAACTTGTGCCATTTTTGGAATCAGCATGTCAAATATACTCAGAAACAGGCCCAACATTTGAGGCACCAAAATGTGTGCTGGCAAGTGTTATTTAATTCTATATAAAATAAATGATGTCAAGAAGAGGCAGGTTTGATTGCACAGAAAACGTGATTCTTTCAATTCCATAAAATGATGTGTGGGTTTTTCTAAGAGCATATTGTACAATATCTGCCATCTGCCTGCAGTTAAGATTACAGAATCATAATGTTACATTCCTAATGCATGTTTTTCTGTGATGAGTGTAAAATTTGCATTTATGATATTAACAGATTGCCTGAAAAGGCCTATAAATTATGTAAATAGTTATAGTAATAGCCTATAATTGTATTATTTAATGTTCCATAACCAAAAAACTTCTGTATATACATAGGCTACTCTGTCACATTTGATCATATGCAGGCATTTCTTCATTGATTAGATTTCTCATCCATTCAAACTAAAGAGTTGAAGCAAAACTTTATATTTTATATTTACCCTGTCAAAGCCTATTAATCATAACTATGTTCATTTTATTATTGGACATGCTATATTCAAAGAAAATATTATTGTTAAGGGGAGAAAAGCCAAAGGGTAGCAGTACACAGACAGACATATATTTTAACAAAGCATCCAGAAATTGTGAAAGTGAGGTCTGCTCTCCTTAGTGTTTCTTTGCCTGGCATTTCAAAACATAATACAGCTGGAAAGTGAGTTCTACAAAGCCTTTTCACCAAGGTAAGTACATTTTCATAAATTCACCCTGCAAGTTGTGATTCCACAAATTGCCACAATCTAACACAGTAAAGACTCTTCAGGGAAGCCATAGTGTTTGGTAGATTGAAATGCTCGTACAGGTAAGTGGAATAGAAGACTAAATTTCATAGGTTTGCTGCTGCCCTGTGTCATTTTTTTTTAAAGACAATTATATTGAAAGCAGCAGCAACTGGTTCCACGGAACCCATCAAAGGGCTGCTTCTGGTGGGACTCTGGGCCTGTCCAGACAGTACCTTTATTGCGGTATCTACCACAATAAAGGAGAGGCAGTCTTGAATTAATGGACAGTCTTGAATTAATTCACCACAAACCAGGAAAACCCTGGTTTGCGCAAATTAATTAGATAGTGGATTTATTCTGTGCCTTCCAGAGACCATTCCCACAGTTTGCCAAGCTAAATAAGCCCGGTAAATTGTAGGAATACCCACAACTCTCCCAAAGCCCCCAAACCCCTTTGAAAAGTAAAAAAAAACTTACCCGGCCTCCAGTAAACTCTCCAAGCAGCTCTTCTGGCACATAGAAATGACGTACCAGGAAAGCGGGGGGGGGGGGAATCACTGCTCGGAGAGTTTACTGGAGGCCGGGTAAGTTTTTTTTACTTTTCAAAGGGCTCTGGAGGCTTCGGGGGAGGGGGGAGGGCCTCCAGATATTCTCTTGGGCTAGTCCTGGGAGAACGTCTGGACACCTACCTCAGAAAGCATGCACTTTCTGTGCTCGCTTCGGCAGCACATATACTAAAATTGGAACGATACAGAGAAGATTAGCATGGCCCCTGCGTTTAAAGGAACCCGATAAAGAGGACAGATTGGACTCTATATGAAAATTACGAAAAGGAAATAAATAAATAAGAGGAATATTATGAAGTGGATATAATGGAAATATCATTGAGGACACAACACCTGATGGAGAGATGGAAGTCAATTTTTATTTTATACTTTTTTTTTCTTCTTTTTTTCTTTTCTTTTTTTTCTTTTTCCCTTTTTTTATTTTGTGTGGCTTTTATATTTTTGTATTTTTTTGGTGGACTTGGGGGTAGGGGGATGTATTTCTTACTTTTTTCCTACTTTCCTATCATCTTTTTTTAATATTCTCCCTCTTTCGATGTTATTTTTTAAAACCTTAATAAAAACTATTATAAAAAAAATCCAACAAATAAAATTTACAAATGCCAAAAAAAAGAAAAAGAAAGAAAGCATGCACTTTCTGGGGTGTGTGTGAACAGGTCCCTAGGAAAACCCGCATTTTTTAAACATGGATTCCCCTGGGATAAAGGCCTATCTGGATCCACCCTCTGTGGGGCTCTGTTGAAGAACAGAAGAGGAGCAGAAGAGGAAATGGTGACAGATGGGGAAACTTCATAGGAGAACTGAAAAGGAAAATGGGTTTCCTTGGAACAAGAAAGACCAGTATCCATTAATTGCAGGGATGCAAAAGGATCTAAATACATAGAACTCCAACATTCACTCACAACCGATTTTGACTCTCAGGAGTTTTGATCAGGTATTTGAGTTCACTTATCAAAAAAGCTCAATATTTGAGGCAAGTGGTCTATTAACAGTGCTCTTGAAAAGTGAATCAACAAATTCTTGTTTCCCAGCATACTCTGCAAAGGCGTTTTATTCTGTAGCGAGTGAATGTTGGAGTCCACTCTTGTGTAAAAAAGAAAATAGGACATTTACTGTGCAAGAATTTGGAGTCTACTCATCTGTAGTAAAGACACAAGAACTATTTCCACACATGTGAAGTGGATTTTTTTTCATCTTTTGAGAAAAGAACAAATTATTTCTGTTTAATGTGACTTTAACAATCCTATATTTTACTGACATTTGTATTTGTATGTATACATTGAAACTACATGGGAGGGCAGAGGACAGACCCTGAAGGAGAGAACAGATGGTTCCCTCTACTGCCTCACGATTTCCCCCGCTGTACCCCACTGTCCCCCGCTTTACCAATGCCTGTCTGATAAGGTCCTATTAGACACACAGTCCAGCGCCCCAACCACTATATCCTGACCATCAGTGTTTAATTGGCTTGGATAGACGGATTGGCAATGGGAGTGCTGTTTTCCGTTTTTGTTTTAAATTAATGCATCACAGTAATGTTCTAATTGAACTGCTTGTTTAATGCTTTTAAAAATTGTTTTAGTTACATTGTGCCACTCTCATTTTGTGCAAAATTTTTGTTCAAGTTAATTTGTATCCCTCCCATTTTGTGAGAAAAATGGGATACAAATCAGCTCAATCAATCAATCAATCAATCAACCTTCTGGATCATCTGATCAAGCAATGAGTTAGCTCCCCACCATTTAGCTCTACATCCCAAGACTAATGGGCAATGAACACCACTTTGTGGAAATGATATATTATTTGGAAAACCTCTGAAACACTCAGGTGGGGATATACAAAGGGTACTGAGACAAATGTAGAGATCATGATCATCAGTTCATAAAACAACATAATAGCAAATGAAAATGAAACTGCTTTGATTCTTTACTTGTTTGTGGAACAGAGCTTTCGAGTTTCATTTAATTATAAACATGATTGCACAAAGTCCATCTAGGAACACAACCATCCCATGTAATTTATGTAATCGAAATGGGTCTGAATTTAGAAAATTAGATTTTCAATGCTTTCAGGAAACTGCTTATGATGAGTTGTAGAATTAAAACATGATAAATGTAAGTAAATTCAATTAACTAGAAACAGATTGAAGCCAGTGTTCAGAAGAAAGCAGAGGCTGAACTTATCCTTGCAAGCTGTACCTGTACTAGGACACTATATGTGACATTTATGAATTAGCAGCATGGAAGCCATATACACAGAGCTGAATCTGCATTCAAATTTACTTACAGAGTGAAAAACATTCCATACACTTTAAGCATTTATTTAGCGCACAGGTTACAGTTATTGAGGATAAATGGATGAAATTTCACTCAAATTTCACTCAAACATATAACACTCAAACATATATTCTCCTTAGACACAGTGAAAGGATATAATTTATTATTATGTAGCCATCTCTGTTATTATAAAGGGGGCAACTGAATTGATTGTAGCCAAGCCTGTAGCCAAGAGGACGGCCGTGTACATGTTATAAGTTCAACCCCTCCCCAAACATTTTCAGGTTTTTAAAAATCTGGTTTACTCATGAAGCAAAAAAGTATAGTTCCTCTAGAACTGCAAGCACTATCTCACAGAAATGTTGATAATTTATTCACACTATCATTACCTACCTTTCTGCCAATTTGCATTGCAATAGCAGCAATAGCCAACATAGTGGAAGCAACCACGTTTTGATTTCATGGAAGTTTGATCATCATTTTGACATGAAGATGGCATAATCCACCAAAACTGACATCAGAATTGGACTCCCCAGGTTAAACTCCATAAGAAAAACTTAAGTTAAAATAGAATTTATGATGTTTTGGGATACATAAACTATGATAATTTGTGCTTGCTTTAAAAAGTTTATACTTTAATTCTCTTAAGCTATCAAGTGTTTTTGAATAACTAGGTACCTGATTAGATTTATCTGTATGTAGTTTCTAAAAATGTAATAACATGTGTGTGTCATAGAGCTTGATTTTTACATATTACAATTTAAAGTGAAAGCTATTGAAATCCACAAGCATATGGATAATTTCAACAGAAAGGAAGAAACCATGAAATGAACAAAATCTGGCTACTGGTATTAAAAAACTTAAAATTATAACAGCAATTAAAAAATAACACTCAAACACAGGGTAATTCCAGATAAGAAACAATCAGGGACAGTTAATCACCTCTCAACAAAGGATTCTCCCAGGCACTAACAAATCACACCAAAAAATCTTATCAGACCATCAAATGCTAATCAAGGCTGCAAACTGAAACATTCACACCTAGCTCCAACAGACAAGAGTTCTTTCTCCTACCCTGGACTTTCCACAGATGTATATAAACCCAATTTTCCTAGTTTCCAACAGACCTCACAACCTCTGAGGATGCCTGCCATAGAAGCAGGTGAAACATCAGGAGAGAATACTTCTAGAACATGACCATACAGCTGGGAAAACCTACAACAACCCACTGAAAATATATGCATAAGAGATCTTTCAAAATGCTGCATCTCTCGTTCTAATCAACATTTTTTCATGAAATTTGAACACAGGTATAGATTTTATTATGTAGTTTCATTTGTTTGTTTACCCAATGTAATTATCTGTAATAGTTTTTGAAGTATTGTTTTAAAACACACCTGAATGTAGTCACATTGTTGCTCTCTTGTTCTTCCCCCTTTCCGAGCTCTCTATTACATCCGCCTCCTTGCTCCTTCCAATGGGGTATACAAGGAAGGTATGAAAGCAGCTGTGGGTTAGGTTGCTGTTCTGAGATGCAAACCCTGTTAGTTACTGTTAGTGTTTCCTTTTATCCATCTGACCCCAGAAGATACCTAAATGTCTATCAAAGCAAGTGAATATTTTTGAGTTCATGGCAAAAAAGAAAAAGCCAAATGCTGAAGTCCAAGAAGGCAGCAGGTTGAGAACCACTGTAGCAGCTGGTACTGATGAAGACCCCAGAATATGCACACCTGGATTGCAGGTGAAAACTGGGGAAACTGTGGAAAGTGAGGTGTCTACCATTGGTTCATCTAATCCAAGCCCTGCCAAAGCAAACATGTAACAGGAGCAAAGACAAGAAGCTGTGTCATTGTTACCCTTGGACTTTATATGAACATGGCTGTTTCTGATAACCAAGTGAAAACTCAATTAGTCCAAAATCTATAGACTCCATTGCCAAGATATGTATTTCCTGTGGACAAGAAGAGGCATCTAAGTTTTCAGCCCAAATGATTCAGCTGATTTCCCTGATTATCCTACTGATTTCATGTACAAGGTACACTCTATAAATTCTGTGTAATGTTTGGAGGAGAAGTTGGGGGTAAAGGTAGTCATCAGAAGCTTGGTGCATTGGTTGTTTAACCATTTGTGCAATTGAAAGATGCAATACAAGTCTTCAATGGACACCAAAAACAGACTACCATCAGAACAACTTGTGCTTGGTTGATAACTTCTTGCTAATTCACAATGGGAAATGTCTTGATGTTTTCTATGATCATCATGATAAACGAAATAAGAAGAAAGCAGAAAAAACAAAAAGAAATTTCTGTCACTAAATTACCAATTAAGAGTAATTTTCAGGTTTTTAGACTTGAAAATTTGTAGCTAAAATAGAAATTTGATTTAATATATAAATCAATATATAAATCATTCTATATAAAAATATAGAATGAGTCATAGAATTTAAATTATTATTAAATTATTTAATATATAAATTAATATATAAATCATTCTATATAAAAATATAGAATGAGTCATAGAATTTAAATTATTTTTGTGTTATGGACCTACTCTTCATGATTCGCTTTTTAAAAGTTTCAAACACTCCCATCACTAACCGTATTTTTTTTCTGTCTACAGGCTTGATTGATTCAGAATGAATAAAATATTTCAGCACCAGACAATTTATTTCTATGAAACCACTCTGACACCAGAGAATTTTCTAATCTAAAACATACTAAACGTGTTCTTATATAATTTAGAATTAGAAAGAGCAATAAGTACAAGGTATATAAATAAATAAAATGTAAATAAATATACATTTTCTCCCAGTTCTTTGCATGAATGATACAATTTAATGTAATGTGACATTTTATTGCATAAAACTGAGCTGAAAACAGATGGCGTGATAAAGATAATGTGTGAAAGCTTTCACATCAGCTTTATCTATTTGATACAATATGAAAGCTAATCAGAGTTACTCTTGAGAGCTGATA